GTGCCAAGGTGATAGGTGGGGATTAAGTGTCATGCGGTCACTGGCCACACAGGTCAGTTGGAAGGCTCCAGGGCCTGAGGAGCTGAACTTGTTCATCTCTCGTAAGCAGCCTGTAGGTTTCCAGGCTGCAGCAAGCTGTGATTGTGCCACTGCACTCCAGCCTGGGTGACACAGCCAGACTCTGTCTCCAAACAGAACAGAAACAACATTATTTCTAAGAGAAATAAACTACAAAGACAGCTCACAGAGGTGACTGCTGCACAGAGCCTCCTCATAACGTGGAGTTAGCATTACTTCCGGGGTGTTGAGGGCACAGCGGGCATACAACAGGAGGATGTTGGCCATGCCCTGGTCTCTGCCATCAAGCAAATTGACTTAAAAATCAATTTTCTGTTAAATTAGCTGTGTTGTAAAATGCATACATACGGTAACAGGGAAAAGGAGAGGTCATATGAGACTGGAAAATTTGATTATGTGAGGGATTTCGGAAAGTCCTTTGTGGACCATTGCTGTCCTCTAGTGGCACCTGGTGTCATTGCGCCCAGCGGGGAGCCCCTCTGCCCTGGGTGCATGCGGGTGGGCTTCCAGGTGCAGGAGGCTGGGAGATCCTGTGGTGCGGGCAGCCTGGGCGCCACCGCGGGCGATCCTGCGTGGCGGCAGCCTGGGCGCCACCGGCGGGCGATCCTGCGCGGGCAGCCTGCGCCACCGGCGGAGATCCTGCGTGCGGGCAGCCTGGGCGCCACCGGCGGGCGATCCTGCGTGTGGGCAGCCTGGGTGCAGGAGGCTGGGGAGACCCCGCAGGCTGCTGCTCAGCAGGAGATGATGTGGTCACCTCGCTGGTCACTGTCAGAGCCACAGGCCCTCCCCGAGTCCAGCAGGACCCATGCCCACAGGCAGCAGACGACCAGTCTTTGTAACAGACACTTTAAAAAGTTTACACGTATTTCAGTTCTTCATCCTAATTTCTCTCCATTTTGAAAATTATGTGTAGACACTCTAGCATGGAATTTGTCACAGTGTAGCTTTTATGATAGCATTTTACACTAATGGCAAAGTGGCTTTCCATTCTTGGTGAAAAGTAGAACAGTTACTAATCAGTTCATATTCTCAATTGTGAATGTGTAGTTACCAAATCAGTTTCACACTTATGCTATTAACGTCAAGGAATTTATATTAATAAGAAATTTCATGTAGATTCTTAAAATACACACAAAATGCGTAAAGAACAATAGTCTAAGAGTGTCATTTGGACCTTCCAACTCAGCTCAACATTTTTATTTAACGTTATCACCAACAGTGATTTTATATATTATGTATATTTATATTTAATGTTATTAATATAAATTTAAAAGTCACCTAGTTCTGGCTTTGAAAGCATAATGGGTGTCATACTCTTGTGCTTTGAAAAAGAAAAACTGTAAAACTTGAAAATATACATGAGACAGTTGTTTTTAGCTGTTGGACAGCAGGCAGTACAAGGCAGCCATTCTTGCTAGAAGGAAATATCAGAAGTGGGCTCTGTATTCTGCCTCAGGGAGCTTCCCATGCTGCAGCCTGGGGAGTGGGCCTCAGATGGAAGAGTTGTGGGGAGAAACAGGTCAGGGCTTGGGGCTGCAGCAGCTGAGGTGTCTAGGACGTGACATGGGCATCTGGGGCAGGGCCCTCGTTCTGTGGAGCCACCCATGAGTCTGTGGCCTGCCTGGTGGTAAACGATGTGTGCGCAGGACTAGATTCCAGGCCTGGCAGAAAACAGGTATGGAGGGGTCTGTAAGCTGACAAGATGCCGGAGGCCATCCTGTGCTAAGAGAAGTTGGAGTTATGACCAGCTCACATCAGGGGGTACCTCACCGAACTCCAGGCGTTCAGAAAGACACACCTTAGCAATGGGGTGAGTGCAGACCTGCCCCAACAAAGCCGAAACCACATCTCAGTAGGATGAAGCTGAGCCGCCAGTAATTAACTGCCTGTCAGAACAAAACCCAACACTCTTTAAAGGAAGTCGACACAATCCACACTTTCAGCAGGAGAGCCCTCACAATGTCCAGCACAAAGTGAGAAATTACTAGATGTGCACAAAAGCAAGAAAATGTGACTTATAACCAGGATGAAAAAAAACAGCCGATGGACCCAGCTGTGGTGTATGTTGACATGAGCAGACAAAGAGTCGAAAACAGCTGCTGTCAATATAATCACAGATTTTCAGTGGAAATAACTAGTGTACAGACAGGAATTTCAATAAAGAATGGAACCTATAATAAAGTAACTGAATGGAATTCCTAGAAATGAAAAACAAAGTGTCTGAAATGGAAATGCCACTGGAAGAGCGTATCATCAGGCTGGACACTGAAGAATGATCAGTAACTTCGAATCCAGGCCAGCAGACTCTGAAAACCGAAGCACAAGGAGAAAAACGGAGAAACTAAATGAACAGAGCTTTCCGTCTGCGACCAGTGGGGCCATAGAGCTTTCATCTGTGACTGGGGCACCATAGCAGGGGGTCTAACCTGAGTGTAACTGGAGTCTCAGGAAGACAGAGGCAGCCGGGGGAGGCCAAAATACACACATTTGAAAACATAATGGCTGAAAATTTTACAAGTTGAATTAAAAATATCAACCTGGAGATCCAAGACTTTCAAGGAACCCCAAGTGGGATAAACGCAAAGAGAATCACACCTGGCTCCATCGTGGGGGAATTGTAGTCACATTGCCGAAGACCAAAGACCAGGAGAAGATCCTGGAAAGAAGTTAGCGTGGGGATGGATTTGTGCATACAGGAAAACCAGGGCAAGAATTGCTGCTGGCTTCTCATCAGAGACAATGCAAACCAGAATACAAAGGGTGACGGTTTTTAAGTGTTGAAAAAGAAAACCTGTCAATCTAGAATTCTATATCCGCCAGCAATAGTCCTCAGAAATGAAGACAGAATCAAGACATTTTAAGATTAATAAAAGCTAAGATGATCCATTCCCAGCCAGTCTTTAGAAGAGGACATGCTAAAGGAGATGAAAAACACCAAAAATGGTAAATTTGGGGGTAAACATAAAAGACTTTTTTCCCTTTCAGTTCTTAAATTCTTCAAGAAACACTTGACCTTTTAAAGTGAAAATAAGATCCTATTGTGGGATTTTTCATAATATAGAGGCAAGATGCAGGGCAGTGGAAACACACGGGATGGGCTGAGAGGCAGCAATTCCGAGGGCCCTCCTGCCGCACGTGACGTGGAGTAGGACTCGTGTGAGGTAGACGTGGGTGGTGAAGGACGCATACTGCAATCCCCAGAGCAAGTGCTAAGAAATGGAATGAAGCAAAGAGATATAATGAAAAATCTAATAGAGGATATGAATTGGGATACTAAAAATATTTAGTTCATGCAAAAAAAAAGGGAGGAAAGGAACAAAGAACATGTAAGTCAAAAGGAAAGCAAGGAGCAAATGGTGGATTTGACCCTGGTCATAACAGTCATTCCATTAAATGTAAACGAACCAGCACTGCAGTTAAAAATGCAGTTTATCCCACAGAACATAGGAGCAAGACCCAATGATCAACTATGTACAGGAGACCCTCTTCAAATGTAAGACACAGATTAAAGGCAAAAAGACGGGAGAGAGGCACTGTGCAAGCGCCAACCACAAGAAAGCTGGTGTGGCGGTTCAACGGCCCAGGCACACTAGCCAAGGTAGACCTTCCTCATCATAAAGGATTAAATCTTCAAGAAGACATAAAAATGCTAAATGTGTGTTCACCTCATAGCAGAGCTTGAAAATACAGGAAGTAAAACATGAATCCATCTACGGTTCTAGTTGTAGATTTTAACATTCCTCTTCCAGCAGCTGACAGAGCAAAGTAGGGGGGAAGTCACTGAGGCTACAGATGGAAGGAGCAGACCTCACTCACCGGCATTTATGGAACACTCAACAACTGCCTAACACAGATCAAAATGTTTAGGACGGCAGTACCCAGGAAACAGAACCCTCCTTCCTGCCCTGCCTAGGTCGCCATGCCCACCTTAGAAGGTGGTTTCAGCTTTACACCACCGGCTTGCTTTGGGCACTACGGGTCCATGCAGGCCAAGGGGCAGCGCCTTCCTCTTTTGACTCTTTCAGGACAGAGGTGCAGAAGCAGCTGTCTGCTCCTGCAAGCAGGTCCCTGGCTCTGGACCCTGGTCCATGAAGGGAGTCTACCTGTGAACCAGCATCTTTCTCAGAGAATAAATCCGGTGCCGCCTCTGAGCTGAGCCGCAAGGGCGTGTTCCCCGTCCATGGCGGGAATCCTGCCTTAGTGTGTGTGGCGTTGCAGCCCCAGCCACGGCAGCACTGGAGCAGCGAATGTCCAGGGATGAGGAGCCGTGGAGCTGATGCTGCTGTTGACACCCAGGAGTGTGCGCCCAGCCAAGCTCTGGGTGCAGAGTGGAACTTCTGAGGCCAGACTTCCATGTGGGCCCAGGCAGCAGGGCCCGTAGAGGGGAGAGGCCCCAAAAGAGGGGCTGGTTCTGTGGATCTGTTGCTGCACAAGCCCCTCTAAAGATTAGTCATTAAAAAAACAGTTAGTGATTCTGCGCCATGGTTCTGGGGACTGACTGGACACAGCCAGTGAGTTTTGAGTTGGGGTCTCTCATAAGGTTACTGTGAGAGTCAGCTGGGGCGACAGTCTTGAGGGTCCACTGGCTGGATGTCCCCACAGCCCACTCCCACCCTTGCCACGTGGCTGCCAGCTCCATGGTTGAGAGCACTCCCAGGGTGGCTGTCTCCAGCGTCCAGGCCACACGTGGGCACTCCAGGCCTCAGAAGACCAGGGCCTTGTATCCCTGCAGTCTGGCAAGTCCCTGAGGCTGGCTCAGATTCAGGGAGGGTGGAACCCTGTGCAGATGTGCTCATGGGCCAGGAGGTGCCCGTCTTAGAATACCACCTGTGCAGTCCACAGGTCAGTGGCCATGACCCAGGGAGGGAGGATCCAAGGTGGGCCACAGTGGTCTCCCTCCTCACTGGCCCTGTGTCCTGCAGCGAGGAGTCCCGGCTGGTGGCAGAGATGCTGTGCACGGCCACGGGCATCCAGGGCAGGAGCATCATGGAGAACCTGAAGGGCCGGAAGCAGCTGCGGCTGGTGGCAGCCAAGGCCTTCACAGAGAGCGCCAGGTGCATGGCTCTAAAGGGGCTGGGGTGGTGCTGTGGGGGCTGTGTCCCTCCCCTACTGTGCCAGACCCCTGTGCTCACCAAGGCTGTGGTCTGTCCTGTGGGCCCAAGGGAGGGCTCTTGCCAGCGAGGGCAAGGTGGACAGTGTGGCCAGTTCCGGGCACAGTCTTCAAGGAGGTGCGGTGGCCCCCTCTTGCCCTTGTACCTGCCTGGGCTAATACAGCCTGACCTTGGTGGGGATCTGACCCTGTGCTGCCCAGAAAGGGCCACTGGGGAGGATGCAGCAGGGACGCCTGAGCAAGCCACATGCCCGGGAGGGAGCAAGCGCGTGGATGGGCCCTGGGCGCCCGACCTTCCTGTCCCTCCTGGTCCAGCAGCTCCAGGTGGGCCCAGGTGGAGCCGCCGTGTCATGACCTGCCCTCTTTCAGGTTTGGAGGCATCGCGGGCAGCAGCACCCTGGTGATGCTGGCCGCACGGCACTACTGGAACGCCTGGCTCCCGCTCCTGTCCTCAGCCGTCTACAGGAAGAAGGCCAAGGGTGCCCTGAAGAGGATCATTGGCATCATCAACAAGACAGAGGCCAGAAAGCAGGTGCGCCAGCCCTGGAGGGGGCTCCTGACTCCCACTGAGGCCTCTAGTGGGTCTTCCAGAAAGGACTGGAGAGGCTCCCAAAGAAAGACCCCACAGGCCTCCCAGAGGGTGCACCAGCACCAGCCGAGGAGGGGAGGGGGCTAAGGGGGTCCCCAAGTGCCAACACTGCGGGGCCCCATGCTGGACCTGATGCTCAGCCCTGACCTCCCCCAGCAGCACACATGCACCGAGGGGATCTCAGAACTGGAGACATACAGCAGTGAGTAGAGAGCGAGGCCAGCACAGTCCCTTCCTTAAGCGGCTTGGTTTCTAGGCAGGGAGGACAGGCCCCACCTGCCGTGAGAGAGGGTGGCCCAGAGGAACAGCAAGCAGAGGGCAGGGCAGGGGGCAGGGGCTGAGCCACAGGTGCCTCTGGAGGCTTAAGGCAGAGTGGGGTGGTAGGGAGTGGAGCCCCCAAGGTCCAGGGGATGGGGCAACCCAGGGAGGATGGTTGCAAGAGAGGGGCCATGTGGATCCAAGAGTGCACCTCCTTCTAGGGTTGTTGGAGGGAGGCTGCACATGGGTCCTGGAGTGGTCCTGCAGGCCTCTCCCCAAGAGCAGGAGCCTGGCCAGCTTCTCCCTGGGCACAGATTGGCAGGACAAGCCTCGGCCTTGTGGACTGGGCTTCCTGAGTAGGCTCTGGAGTTGGTGAGGGCTTCGTGCTCCTGGTTCACAGGTCTGTGGACGCAGCTCCCTGCTGGGAGATGGGGAGGCAACCCCTCCTCCTGGGAAGAGGCTGAGACTCTTGGGTTGGGGTCAGTCTTTAGACCAGGGCTGAGCCAGTCCAGCCCACTCTGAGCTCTCTTCTGGCCTCAGCTGTAACCAGGAATCAGGAGTCAGCCACAGAGAACCCACAAAACGGAGCCCTTCTAAGAGGAGTAGCCATATAACCCGAAGCTCCAGTGGGAGGAGGAGGACAGGGGAGTGGGGCACAAGACAGCAGGCACAGGCAGTGGGCGCCGCCACAGAAGCCACTGCACAGATCCTCAGATGCATGCCCAAGGCAGCTTCTTGGCCTGACTTTGAAAAGGCTGTGTTGGGGCCTCTGGGCTGTCCAGCCCACCCCAGCTTCTCCCTATGCTGGCCTCCTCCGGGGCAGTGCCTCCTCATCCAGTATGGTCTAGACAAAGGGACCCTCCTGGACTGGCTCCACTAGGAAGCCTGGGTCTGAGCTCTGCAGAACTGCCTCTGGAGCCAGACTGGAGAGTACAGAGGCAAACCAAGGCTGCTCTACCTGGCCTGCCAACCTGCCAACCCACATGTGGCCATCCTGTGGGCAAGATGCAGCTTCCTGGCCCCAGGGCTTAGCCTTCCACTGGCGCTGCCCAGCACATTTTCTGGCTGCCCAGGAAGACCAGAGTAGATTTTTACTATTTGTGACCAAGAATCCTGGCTGACCCAGATATGTGGTTCCTACAAACCTGCAGTGTCTTGCAGGGCCCCGTGAAGGGAGGGCCTGCAGATGGTGAGGGCCATAACAGACAGAGGTTCATGGCCAGAGAGCCTCAGGACGGAGCCTAGATGTTAATCCTTTAGCAGATACCTGATTTGCAAGTATTTTCTCCCATTCTGTGGGTTAACTTTTCACTCATTTGATCATGCCATTTGATGTACAAATGTTCCTAATTTTTAAGAGGTCCAATTTATCTATTTTTTTCTTTTGTTGCCTGTATCTTTACTGTCATATCCCTGGTCATTGCTACATCCAATACCATGAGGATTTTCTCCATTATTTTCTTCTGAGAATTTTGTAGCTTTAGCTCTTAAGTTTAGATCTTTGATCCATTTGAGTTAATTTTTGCATATGGTATTAGGTAAAGGTTCAACATCATTCTTTTGCATGTGGATATCCAGTTTTTCCAGCACCACTTGAAGAGACTGTGCTTTCCCTAGTGAATGGTCTTGGCACTGTTGCTGAAAATAATTTGACCAGAAATGCAAGCGTTTATTTTGGGGCTCTCTATTCTATTTCACTGGCCTATATGGTATCATTTTGCCAATACTATGCTGTTTGAGTCACTGTAGCTTTGTAATATGTTTCCAAGTTGGGAAGCATGGGTCCTCCAACTTTGTTGTTTTTCAAGATTGTTTTAGTTCTTTGGGACCCCTTGCAATTCCATATGAATTTGAGAATAAATTTTTTAATTCCATATGAATGTGAGGATCACTTTTTTAAATTATATATTTTTTAAAAAGACTATTGCAACCCATAGAGATTGGGTTGAATACTGCTTTGGGTAGTATTGACATTTTAACAATGTTAAGGCTTCCTATCCGTGAACATGGGCTATCTTTTCATTTATTTAGATCTTTAATTTCTTTCAGCAACCTTTTATAGTTTTGAGCATACAAGTCTTTCACCTCTTTAGTTAGATTTATTACTAAGTATTTAATTTTTTAAGGTGCTGTTATAAACAGGAATGCTTTCTGTCTTAGCTTGGGCTGCCGTAACAAAATACCATAGACTGGATGGCTTAATTTATTTCTCAAAGTCTGAATCTGGAAGTGTGAGATCGGGGAGCCAGCGTGGCTGGGTTCTGGTGAGGAACACCTTCCTGGCCATGAATGCCTGGCTGCCTTCTCACTATGTCTTCATGTGGCACACACAGCCTGGCTGCCTTCTCACCGTGTCTTTATGTGGCACACACACCCTGGCTGCCTTCTCGCTGTGTCTTCATCTGGCACACACACAGCCTGGCTGCCTTCTTGCCGTGTCTCCTGGCACACAGAGCCTGGCTGCCTTCTCACCATGTCTTCATGTGGCACACAGAAGGAGACAGCAAGCTCTCTGGTGTCTTTTCTGAAAGTGCACTAACTTTATCGTGAGGACCCCACTCTCGTGACCTTATCTAACCTCGGTTACCTCCCAGAGGCCCTGTCTCCAAATACCACCACAGTGGGGGTTAGAGTCTTAGGATATGAATTTTGGGGGCACACAACTCAGTCTGTAGAACTTTCTTCCTAATTTCCTTTTTGGAGTTTTCATTCCTGCTGAATAAAAACACAGCTGATTGTTGTGTGTTGATCTTGTGCCCTGCAACTTTTCTGAATTCATTAATTGACTCTAATGCTTTCTTGTGGATTTGTAAGAATTTTCTCTGCATAGGATCATGTCGTCTGTGAATAGAGATAGTTTTACCTCTTCGTTTCCAGTGTGGCACACACAGTGGCTGCCTCTCACCGTGTTCTTCCTTGTTATCCAGTAGCTCTGGTCAGAGCCTCCGGTGGGAGAGCAGCAGTGGAAGCAGTGACCTTGTCTTGTTCCTGGTCTTAGTGAGAGAGCTTCAGCCTCACCATTGCATGTGACGTGAGCTGTGGGTTTTTCCATAAGGACCCTTCATCATGTTGAGGAATTTTCTATTTCTAGTTTTCTGAGAGTTTTTTGTCATGAAATAGTGTTGGGTCTTGCCAGATGCCTTTTCTCCATCGGTTGAGCTGGTCATGTGGTTTTTCTCCTTTGCTCTGTTAATGCTGAATACTGTGCATCACGCTGACAGATCTGCCCACAGTGGCCGCCCTTGCACCTCTCACAGATCCCACTTGGTCATTTTGAGTCATCTTTTTAATATGCTGTTGGATTTCATTTGCTAATCTTTTGGGGAGGATTTTTGCATCTATGTTCATAAGGGATATTGGTCTATAACTTTCTTTTGTGGTGATGTCTTTATCTGGATTTGATAACAGACTAATGCTGGCCTCACAGAGTGAACCCAGGAGCGTTTCTTTGTCTTTACATTTTTGAAGAGTTAATAAGGATTGTTGCTAATGCTTCTTTAAATGTTTGATGGGAGTCACTGATGAAGCCATCTAGTCCAGGATTTTTCTTTATTAAGAGGCTTTTGATTACTAATTTAATCTCTTATTATAAGTCTGTTGAGATTTTCTGTTTCTTCCTGAGTCAGTCTGGGTGTGTTTGGAGGGATTTGTTCATTTTTTCTAGATTATCTAATTTGTTGGTGTGCAAATGTCCACAGGATTTTCTTATAATCCTTTTTATCTCCCTGAGGTCAGTAGTAATGTCTCCACTTGCATTACTTATTTTAGTTATTTGAATAGTCTTCCTTTTTTTTTTTTTGTCAGTTAGCTAAAGGCTTGTCAATTTTGTTGACCTTATTAAAGAACCAACTTTTAAACAATAGACTTTCTTTATTGTTTTTCTGTTATCTTTTTTTGTCTGTGCTCTGATCTCTATTATTTCCTTCCTTCTGCTAGTATTTTAGTTCCTCATGATGTAAAGTTGGATTATTGATTTGAGATCCTTCTTTAATACAGCATTTGCAGCGGTGAACTCCCTCTGAGATTGGCTCTCACTGCCTTCCCTAAGTTTTTTCTAATGTGCTTTTCATCACATTGATTTAGAGCCATAAAACCAACTTAGATGTTTCATGTCGTTGAAAAAGCTCTCAATTACGTTAGGGGAGCAGCTGCAGACTTTTTGTGACTTAGTATTTCAGAAATTTTGCTGCAATATCTGTAATTAGATAGAGCCGAATTGTTAGCAGCAGACGTATTCGAGTCACACACCACTGAAGTACGGCACCAGCGGCAAACCCACAGGGGCTGCAGCAACCTCGAAGTGTGTTACCAGCGGCAAAGCTGCAGCAACCTCAGTTCTTGCCTCCTCAGAAGAAAGACTTCAACTGAGGAGCGTAAAGAGAAGGAGAGACAGAGGCACGTCTCAGAGCAGGAGCGAGTTTATCAGAGAGCTTCAGAACAGGCAGGAAGGGAAGAAAAGCGCACTGGGAAGAGGCCGAGCGGAGACCTGAGAGAGAGGTCACGTGCATGGCTCACCTTTGACTTGGGGTCTCCCACTGTTGTGGGACTTTTGCTCAGTTCAGCTAAAGACGGGGTCCTTGTCACACTGCCACAAAAGATGAGGCTTGTAGACAATTTGAAGGGTGAGAAAGGCAGGGTTTTATTGGGTAGAAAGGAAGAAAAGGGGAAACAGAGGCTCTTAGTGAAGCGAGACAGTGTTTCCTGCCAGTGCACTTCCCACCTCACTGAATGAATCCCAGGTTCACCCGGGAGGAGGAGGGGCCAGGCTCCTCCCCGCTGCAAATGGCATGAGCCTCTGTGTCTCCCCCGCAGTGCGCATTCCTCCCAGTGAGCAGGCCGGTCGGAGAGTCTCTGGGGGCCCCTTCCCACCTGGCTGTCTCAATACATTGGCCGACTTCCAGGGTCTTGCGTGATTTCTCCCTAGACGCTTCCCTGGCGGTGGGCTGTCTGCATGTACGGTGGCTGCCCGCACTTGGGAGGGGCCGCATGCCCAGGGTACTAACTGGAGTTTTACATGTGCTCACTTGAGGTGGTCCCTTACCAGTCGCGTGTTCCTAGTGGGAGGTCATAGGCCAGGGAAGCTCCGCCATTTTGCCTCTCAGTGTGCGTGCTTGAGCCCGCTCACCCAACTCCTGAGATCTCATCGGGAAGCGGCTCATCACCAGTTTCAGGTTTTTTCTGTCTCTTGGGAGATGGCCTTTCCCTGGTGCTGGCTGAGACCAATTATTATTTTAGAGAGACAGTTGACAGCTGCCTGACCGTCACCTGATGGCTGTCTGAAGTTCCTGGTGTGGGGCGGGGGGCCTCTCCTGCCCCGCTCATGTTTGACTAGCTACCTACTATAACAAAATGAAAAGCAAAATGATGTCAACCTAAAAGGAAGAAGCTGAGGCAAACTTGGTATAAGTAGAGAGTTTGCCTGGGCCAAGCTTGAAGGTTATTATCCGGAAGCATCGATTCCAGTGGCCCCGAACATGCATTCCAATTAGAGGCAGTTCCAAGTGGGTTTTTAAAGGGAAAGAAGAGGCAGTTCCTGAGTTGTTTGCCAAGAATTTACATTAAAATAACTTAAGCTATTAATTGGCTGTATATTGTTAAGCTTTAGAATGTGGGCGATAGTGGCCGGTACAGCATCGTCAGGTTAATTTACAGCAGCTATGGCAATAGCAAGCAGTTTAAGGAGACTCAGAGGGGGAGTTTCTTAGCTCGTGGCGAAAGACTGTCTTGCAGCTTTCAAATATACGTGTCATCTACTTGCGTTACTTTAGGAGAAAGAGAAGACGCTGCTTCTGCACCAGTGGCCCACGGCTGACTTCCAAGGCGGCGGGACGACCGAAGGATATTTTCTTCCAGGTTTGTAGCAGGACAGGCAGACCCATGGGCTCCAGGTACAAGGAAACGGAAGGACTTGAGCCCAATTTTAAACGTGGTGCTTTTAAATTCCCGTGCCCTGACAGGAAGCCACCTGGCAATAACTCCAGATAATGTCTGTTCAGCATTTGACGCATGACAGGCACCTGAGCGCTCTTCAGGAATGAGCTCATGAAATTCCTTTTCAACATACAAAGAAGCCAGAGCCGGGGCCTTCCCACTGTCCATGAAAAAAGTCAAACTCTGTGAACTCTTTGAAGGGATTGATGCTGAGCCACATGTGAGGAGCGTGACGCGTGACCCAGCCCCAGGAGGTCCTGAGAACATGGGCCCATGGTCGTTGGTTTACAGCTTGATTTCGTACATTTTAGGGGAACAGGAGTTACAGGCAGAGACATCACAATACGTGTCTGGTGCACATTGGTTTGGTCCAGAAGGTGGGACAACTCGGAGGGGAGGCTTCTAGGTCACTGGCAGATTCAAAGATTTTCTGATTCACAATTTGTTGAAAGAGTTATTATCTAAAGACCTGGAATCGATAGAAAGGAATGTCCAGGTTTAGATGAGGAGTTGTGGAGACCAAGGTTTTTATCTTGCAGATGCAGCCTCCAGGCTTCTGAGCTCTTATCAGACAAAAAGGCACCAGACTCTTGGTTAATTCTCCCCTGGCTCAGGGAACAGCCCTGGAGAGGGAAAAGGGGATTCTCAACAGGATGTAGTTTTTCCCCACAAGAGACAGCTGCGCGGGCCCCACTTCAAAGTATGTTGAAGAAAGATATTTGGGTATAAAATACCTGGATCTCTTTCAGGCTTGCGATCTGTCGTGTGATGCTTTGGTAGAGTCAGACTAGAACTTGGTATCTTACTGCTACAGAGCGTCCACTGTGTCAGCCCTCAGAGCTCTGTTTTCATGTGGACGCTGGTCCATTGTGCCTGGCTCCAAAGGCAGAAGGGATGTGATGAGACCTGTCCACCCTTGCCCCCTACCACCCCCGACCCCATCAAACTAGTTTTTCAGGTACACTTCGGAAGGCCCTGGGCCAAGAGGAGGGTCCATTCAGTAGGCTGGGAGGCTTACAGTGTTATTTTTGGTTTCGTGAACCTTGTCCAGGGCCACACACCCCTGAGTCCAGAGTGGACACTGTCACCCCTGGTCGTGGCTGCCGTGAAGTCTGGCCTTTCGGCTGTGCTGACAGATAAATCGCATTTTTCTGCCTCCACAAAAAACGTGGACACAAAACAGCTGCAAAACAAACATACAAAAACACATACTGACTTTAGAACAATAGAATCATATTAGAATACCAATTCATGTTTATAGAAAAAAAATTGTCTGCTAAAAAAAATTATCCCTGTTGAGACTCCTAAAGTGTATTTGGGAAATCTTTAAATGCTGTGGAATAGAAAAGTGGAACCTACCTTGAGCATTTAGAGTCTATTTAGAGAAGCAAAGTTGATTTAAAATAATAAACAAAAGTGTGGCCACGTGTAATTACTAAGTTGAGTACTAACCCCAGCAGTGTGTGTGGCCTGCTGGTCCTGCAAGCACAAGCCCGACGCACACAGCAAGTCCTTCCGCGGAGAGGCTAGGCTGCGGCAGAGAAAGGGTTAATCCTGGGGTGGCTGAGCCTGAGACGGGGATGCAGCCGCAGACCCACCTCCCTGAGGACTTTGGGGGTCTTGAGGGTTTTGGAGAGGACGGAGGTGTGGAGATGGCTGACTGCTGGGAGAGTGCAGGGTCTTGGGAAGGCATTCCTGGGCCGGTCCTTATCCTGCTCCTCTGTGGGGGACTCCACACTGGTTGCTGGCATTCAGGGTCTGAGAAACATCCTAAGTGATCCTTCAACCAAAGCCTTAGGATTCTTACGCCAGAGACCCCATCTACAGGAGCGATGGGGTCCAGGTGACTTTTAACAACAAGGACGTGGCCAGGGCACAGCCTGGTTACTGCTCAGTTATAACCACATTTTGTCCACAACCGGGCCTGTGATTCTTGTCAGCCCTGGGGGGTGTTTCACGAGGACAGAGATGTAGATCGGAGCCCTGGGGAGGCAGAAGGCAGCCCAGACCCCTTCAGAACAGGGCACGGGCAGAGGAGGCTGCGGAGGGGGGTTTGTGCCTCTGGGCAGAACCTGGAAGCCACACTACATTTTACTCCATTCACCAAAATCAACATCAGACAAGGTGAATAGTTAAGTAGTTTTAAAAAGCCAAATTCTAGAAAAAATATCAGAAAGTAGAATTGAGCATAGCAGAGATTTTGTAGAAAGAGGCACCTTTCACAGATACAAAAATGTACGCTCCTGAATCCTGATAAGTGCAGAACAGTCAGAAGTGAACACACGGAGAGACACTCGCACCATGTTCGGCAGCTAAATGCTTAGCGTCCAGGCCACATCAATTCTTGAATTAGTCGGGACGGCCATGTTGTGCTGTGGTAACGTGAGGCCCAGAGCTCAGCACAGGCACATTCCTCCTCATGCACAGCCCACAGCCCTCACACTCCCAGAGGCACCACCAGAGCTGGCGGCCTCCGAGGAGGAGGAGACGGTCCACAGGAATGCCTGGGGAGGGTCCGGCTGCAGCGCCTCTGCCCGGGAACTGGACGTGCACCGGGTGGTCCCAGGACATGGCTGTGGGTCAATGAGGAGGTCACACCTCAAGGTGAGCCCTCCGCTTAGGCAGGATTGAAGAGGACTCCCTGCTACCCTGTGTGTGGTTTCCGAGTTCCTCGGACCCTGGTTTAATGAGTTCAAGCAGGAGGAAGCAGGGCTCAGGGTTGGTTCCCAGGTTTCAAACGCAGACCCGCTTCACTGGCCAGTGCCTGGGTGAGGAGGGCCTGGCAGAGTGTGAAGGCCACAGTGAGTCCACAGATCCCAGCATCCGATGGGGTGCCGCCCTCCTAGCCATGGGTGCCGCCCTCCTAGCCATGGGTGCTGTCCTTCCAGCCATGGAAGTGTTTGCTCCCTAGACCCAGCGGGTCGGCTCTGGAGAACGCAGTCTCACGGAAAATGAGTCAGATAAGGGAAAGAAGCCTCCACACTCTATGACGTAAGCCTCAGCGGTCCAGGTGCTGGCACCAGAGGCGGGTCCTGCCGATAGCATGACGGAGCTGGTGCAGGATGACACGGACTCCAGCCCTCAGCACTGTGGCCTGCAGAGTGCTGGGGGAGGGCGCTGGGGGAAAGGGGTTTGTCTTTCCTTAGGGTCATACTGTTTATCTTTAAAATTACAGAAAAGCACCAGACTTCTGAAAAGAGAAAGCGCATTAGGGACTGCAGACTCTGAGAAGGCTCCAGAGGGTGGGTAGAGGCGGGAGCCATCCCGACCTGGCCCAGAGACCCGCAAGCAGCACGGCAGGGCCAGTGGAGGTGGCAGGTGCAGGCAGCAGGGGTGACGGCGACAGGGGTACAGGCTACGGAAGCACCTGGGAGGGGAGCCAGGTGAGGGGTGGCAGTGTGTGGAGACAGCCAGGGAAACCCAAGATCTGCTACCATTAGAGGGGGATGGAGTCTGCATCGGTGCCCACTATGGTTATCGGGCGCTCAGTGCAGCAGGAATTGACACCCAAAGAGTTTTCCAGACAAGGCTTCACTGAAGCTTATTCCTGGGACGAGAGAGAGAGGGAGGAAGAAGGAGAGAAGACGAGAGAGAGAGAGAGAGGCAAGAGAGGAGAGGAGAGAGAGAAGAGGGGAAAGGAGAGAGAGAAGAGGGGAGAAAAGAGAGAGGAGAGAGAGACGCAACAGAGGAGAGAGAGAGAGGAGAGGAGAGAGAGAAGAGAGATCCCTCACTGACCCCTGAAAGAGCCGGGAGGGTGCCGGGAGGGTGTGGGAATTACCGTCAGGGGAAGGGTGTGCAGGCTGGGCCGGGCGGCGCCCGTGAGGGGTAGGGGACGCGTCAGCATTCTGGTCGCCATGGCTGTGCTGGGTCAGGGGCAGCTACAAGGCACAGACCCGCCACTCAGCACCGCTTCCCGAGTGGGGGCTCCAAGGCCTTGGCTCAGTGTTTTGGGTCTCCCCAGGCTCTCGGAATCCTTGGGGTAAAAGGACTCTTGGCCAGGATGTAGTGGAGTGGGTGGGTTCTGTGCTCCGTGGGGATGTGTGAGGGATGTGGCCCTGTGTTCTCCCCGTCCCTTCACTGCCCTTCAAGTTCATCTGCAGCTCGCCCAGACACGGAGGGTCCCGTCCCACCAGGACCCACCCTGCTGGCTTCGTGCACTCGGGGGCACTGATGGCCCACGGGCGCCCTGTGAAGGCTGGTGGGGCTCCCCTCCCAGTTGGCAGGCGGTTTCTGCGTGTGCCCCGAAGGCGGGCACCTTTGCCTCTGCGTGTCACATGGCTCTGCTGCCCGTGCGGAGACTCGGGGGCTGTGGGCGCCAAGCGTGTGGACTCCTGAGCGCGCACATGGTGCTGCGTCCTCAGCCACGGGGGAGGTTTCCATGTAACTCCTGAAAGGACCCCAAGTCCTGCTCGCCGATCTTTCATACATGGAAACACAGGGTTGTGTGTGAACACAGAACTCTCCAAGCAGATGGAGAGTGAGAGGCAGAAACCAGCAAGCAGACAAGACAGCTGGAGGGGCCACGCAGGTCCACAGCTCACATCAGCCCTGCGGGGCATGCGCCGGCCCGGGCACCTGAGTAGCCACAGTTCCACCTCGGGGGCACTGTGATGGGCAGCTTAGTCTGGGAGATCCAAGGGCGCCTTTGATGAGGGATCAGGCGGCTCCAAGGACACCCCTTCTTCTCCCTCCCAGGGGCTGAGGACGACCTGACGCTCCGTGCTGCGCTCTATGGCCTGCTCTTCCACAGCCACGCCGACCAGGACGACTGGGAGGGTGGCCTCAAGGTGCTGGACGAGGCCGTGCAGGTGCTGCCAAGGACAGCTCACCGCCTGTGAGTGCTCCAGACACTGCATCCCCACCAGGGGAGTGCTCCCCCACCGCCTGTGGAACCCCGCTTCCTGGAGTGTGCTCCCCCACCAGGGAGAGTGCTCCCCCACCCGGGGTGTGCTCCCCACTGCCTGTGAGTGCTCCAGACACTGCATCCCACCAGATGCTCCCCACCGCCCTGCTTCCCCCACCCAAGAGTGTGCTCGCCCCACCCCACCCCCGCCCAAGTGTCTCCCCACTGCCTGCTCCCCCACCCGGAGTGTGCTCCCCCACCGCCTGCTGCCCCCGCCCGGGTGTGCTCGCCCCACCCCCTGCTGCCCCCACCCGGAGTGTGCTCGCCCCACCCCCTGCTGCACCCCCTGGAACTGGCACTCCCCCACCGCCTGCGGCACCTCCCGGAGTGTGCTCCCCACCCGCCTGGCAGGTCCCCTTCCTGGAGTGTGCTCCCCACCGCCTGTGAGTGCTCCAGACACTGCATCCCCACCAGGGGGTTCCCCCACCGCCTGCTTCCCCCACGCCTGCTTCCCCCCACCTGGGTGTACTCCTTACCATCTGCTTCCCCCACCAGGGTGTGCTCCCCCCACCGCCTGTGGAACCCCCTTCCTGGAGTGTGCTCCCCACCGCCCTGCTTCCCCCACCTGGGGTGATGTGCTCCCCCCACCGCCTGCTTCCCCCCACCGGGTGTGCTCCCCCCACGCCTGCTTTCCCCCACCGGGTGCTCCCCCCACCGCCTGTGGAACCCCCTTCCTGGAGTGTGCTCCCCCACCAGAGAGTGCTCCCCCACCGCCTTTGGAACCCCCTTCCTGGAGTGTGCTCCCCACCGCCTGCTTCCCCCACCCAGGTGTGCTCCCCCACCGCCTGCTTCCCCCACCGGAATGTGCTCCCCCACGCCTCTGCTTCCCCACCCGGGGTGTGCTCCCCCACCCGCCTGTGGAACCCCCTTCCTGGAGTGTGCTCCCCCCGCCTGCTTCCCCCACCAGTGTGCTCCCCCACTGCTGCTTCCCCCACCGCAAGTGTCTCCCCACCGCCTGTGGGGCCTTCCTGGGTGTGCTTCCCCCACCGCCTGCTTCCCCCCACCCGGAGTGTGCTCCCCCACCGCCTGTGGAGACCCCCTTCCTGAGTGTGCTCCCCCACCGCCTGCTTCCCCCACCCGGGGCTGTGCTCCCCCACCGCCTGTGGAACCCCTTCCTGGAGTGTGCTCCTCACACTTTGCTTCCCACCCAGTGTGCTCCCCCACCACCTGCTTCCACCGAAGGTGTGCTCCCCACCGCCTTTGGAACCTTGCCTAGGTGTGCTCCCCACAGCCTACTTCCCCCCACCCAGGCGCTCCCCGCCTGTGGAACCCCCTTCCTGAGTGTGCTCCCCGCCTGCTTCCCCACCCGGGTGTGCTGCCCCACCCCTGCTGCACCCCACGCCTGGAGTGTACTCCCCACCGCCTACGGCACCTCCCAGTGTGCTCCCCACCCGCCTGCTGCACCTACCCCCAAGTGTGCTCCCCACAGCCTGCTGCACCCCGTCTGAGTGTGCTCCCTGCTCTCGCTGCCTTGCCTGGGCCTACAAGAGTTCCAACTCACGCTGAAGACAGCTTTGGAAGTTAGCACAGGGAGCGGGGACTGAAAACCCCATGCCGCCCCAAGACCCCCACTCCCCTGGACTCTGCTTTGCTTTATCTTTTAAGCAGGAAGTGGAATAAGTCTGGGCCGCATCCTGCGATTGGTCTGCCACCCGATCCCGATGTTGGTTTCTCACCTTCCCTTTCTTTAGCTTGATCTTCAAGCACATAGTCATACGTGAAGGCCAAGCTCGAGGCAAATTTCCAGATCTACAGAAATTCAAGGCCGAGTGAAGACTACTTGGCGCGCATGTGGCACCTTGTGGCCTAGACTCGCGGCGTGTCTGGAGAGCAGTACCTGCCTAGCGCCATCCAGGCCTTGCGGAGTCAGGCCTGGTGAGTAAGATGCGTGTGTGGTAAAATGTGTCCTTTAGCAAAAGGGAGAACCGTGTGGACAGAAGCTCAGCCGGGACCTGGCAGAAAAACTGCAGTAGGCAGCCCGCGGCTGACGGTGCAAGAGGAGAATCGCTCATGCGGCCCCAGGGCACTCCTCTTGCCCGACCAGAGGTCAGGATGATGGCTGGAGCTGAGGTTTCAGTGGTCCCTTTCCAGCGTGGAGGGTTGTGGTCGGAGTCCCTTGTCCCTGAGCAGGGTGGGGGCCAGAAGATGATGCTCAAGCAGAAGCGCCCTGGAGGCCAGGGCCCAGATAGTGAGGTGGCTGAGGAGCAGGGCTCTGCAGGGCGCTGGGATGTGGGCGTTCTGGGGACGTTGGCGTCTCTTCCCCACCCCCAGGAAGGCAAGACGGATGTCCCTCGATGCACTTGGGGTGGGCTCGGGAGGAAGTGGGCGCTTTGCTTTGATGATTTGATGCCTCTGCTTGTGTCAGAAGCAAAGGAGCCATGTGGTGCGTACCCGAGAACTTCATCTCGGGGACGAAAAGCCATCCCAGGCCCCTGGTCTGAAAGAGCATGAACCTTTCAACATTAAGTGAAAAGAGATCTTGAGGCTTCTGTTATCTCAGCTCAGAGCAATCACTCTCCTGGGGTCTTTGGATTGCTCTACTGGTGTCCAGCAGCCCTTGGCAGACGCCCGGAGTACCACCATGGGGAGCCACAGGGAGCCACTGCGCCTCTCTCCGGGAAGCCAGAGGCCACGTCGTTCCTCAGCAGTTGCCCTGCTGGTTGTGAGGATCAGGCAAGGACCTGGCCTCCTCCAGGGGAAGCAGGAAGGGCCTGAGGAGGAAGCTGGGGGCCGAGCTGGGGGAAGGCAGGACCAAGCGCCGAGTCGCACTGGCCGTCGAGAACCAAGAAAGCCCTTGAAAGTGTTTTCTGTCTTCACTTGCAGTCCTTCCTCCAGTTGTCTGTTTTGTTAGAGGTACAATGTGATGTTTTTAGTGAATTCTCCAGAGTTATATAATCATCACCCACACACAATTTTAGAAGGTTTCATCACCCCCAGAAACCCTGCATCCATCAGCACTCACTCCCCTCTTCCTACCTCCATGGCCCCAGCAGCCGCGGACCTGGACATTTTCTGTAAACAGAGCCAAGCATTCGTGGTCCTTCATTCAGCATGACATCGCCCCAGGAGCCATCCCCATCATTCCGTTTAGGGCTCAGTCATATTCCGTTCGGTGTCTCACAGTCCGCGCCTGTGTTTATTTGTTCCGTTATCCATGCTGTGAGAAAGGTGCGGTCAGCATTTGCTCCCAAGTTCTGGCGTGGCCCCTCCTCGTCCTGGGAGTGTACAGCCCGGCAGGGGAGTTTGAGCACACGGTGGCCCTATGTGGGGCCATGAGATGAAGTGCCGGACTGTCTCCCTGGCTGACCTCACAGAGATTTGCCTTCCCACCTGCCGGGTGTGGACTGCGGTTTCTCCACCGCTCATGGCTCTCGGTATCGTCCGAGGATACAAGCTGTGCCGGTGGGTGTGAAGTGTCTCCTCGTGTTGTTGGTTTGTCTGCATTTCCCAGCCACTCATGATGATGAATTTATTCTATGCTCATGAATCATTTGCTATAAGTGGTTGAAATTATTATTGCAGTCCTTTTGCCCGTTTTAATCTGATAGTTTTAGTTTTGTTGCATACCTTAGAATCATAGTGTATTTGTGGATGCAGGTTCTTTGAGGCATCATCTGCAAACCCTTTCTCATTCTGTAGGCTGCTTTTCAACCCACTTGCTTCACTTCCCGGATGGCACTTGATTTGCAGCCTGACATCATTTCAGTGTGATGAAATTCTAGTTGTCTATTTCTTGTTTTGTTGCTTGTGTTTCAGCATTGTATCCTGCCAAAACTATTGCATAACTTGAGTCTTGAAGATTTGTTCCATTTTCTTTAGATTTTATATCAGTTGTAGCTGTTACATGTATGAGTTATACAGGTGTGAAATGAGTCCTGGCACTCCTCAGCCTGTGGGCAGCAGTGGCCCCACACTTCTGTTGAAGATGACCTGCTCTCCCTTAGACCCTCCACATCGAGGCCAAGGCCCTCCCCAATGTCTATAGCTTTTTGTGTAGAACCACCGCCAGCCTCCACAGCTGCTCCCTTCCTTCCCCATCCATAGGCATCCTTCCCGTGGCTCCCGGAGCCCCACCCTCACCAGTTCCCATCCTTCTCCCTTCCTCCTCTTCATGACAGAGAGGCTGGGCTAAGGGCAGGACCTTGGCCATCTGATCTCACCCCGTCCTGAACTAAACATGGCTGCCGCCCATTTTTCCCCACAAGCAATTCTCCTAGCCCAGGCCCTGCCCCTGACCCGTGAATCCTGCTGCCTGCCACCAGCCCCCGCCCTGGGGCAAGCGTCTCAAAACCAAACGCCTGCTTTTCCCACCATTCTTCCTCTTGCCTTTCCCTCAGATGTTGCAGCTCCATCCTGCAGTGACTGGACTCACACCCAACACCCACAACAAACCCACACCTCGCACCTAGACCCACAGAAACACGCGACATAACAGCCCACAGCCGCAACCCGAACCCACCCCACGAGCCGCAACTTCACACCTGCGCACATCTCATGTACACCATTCACTCCCAGTACCCCAAACACAACTCACACCCATCCCACACCCCACATCCCACATTCAACACACATCCCACACACACCACTCACACCCACATCCCACACACATCCCACACACCCCATCCCACCCCCACATCCACACACACTCACGCCCACATCACACACACCACTCACCCTCCCACACCCACCCCATCCACACACACCCCACATCCCACACACCACTCACCCACATCCCACACACACCTCATCCCACATCCACACCCCTCCTCATCCCACACACCACTCACCACCTCACACACACCACACTGACATCCACACCCCACATCCCACACACCCCACATCCCACACCTCATCCACATCACACACACACTCACACCCACATCCCACACACCCCACATCACACACACCCCACATCCCACACACCACTCACACCCATCACACACCCACATCACACACCCCTCCCACACACCTCATCCCACATCCCACACACACCACTCACACCCACATCCCACACACACCCCATCCCACACACACCCCACATCCCACACACACCTCACATCCACATCCCACACACACCACTCACACCCACATCCCACACACACCCACATCCCACACACACCTCACATCCCATCCCACACACACCACTCACCCACATCCACACACACCCCTCACACTCATCACACACACCACTCCACCCACCTCACACACCACACACACATCACACACACCACTCACACCACATCCACACACACCCACATCCCCATTCCACTCACCACATCCCACACCCCACATCCCACACACACCCCACATCCCACACACACCACTCACACATCCACACTCACACCCACATCACACACACACATCCCACACACACCACTACCCCACATCCCACACACCCCACATCCACCTCCACCTCCATCACCTGCCCATCCGACCTCCCGTGATGAAGCCACAGCCTCAGATTGTCCAGACCCCTCTCCCTGCTGCCTGGGCTCTTTTCCGTCTCCCTGTGTAGACGCTCACCTCTTCTTGGCTCACCCCGGCCTGTTCTCTGCAGAGCAGTGGGAGGCTCCCCAGGTCCAGGTCAGAGCTGCTGTCCGCATTCTCCAGCCCACAGTGCTGTGGCTCAGTCCCTTCCCTGTCTTCCCGCACTGCAGGGCCCCTTTGCACCCCTGCCCGGGCACCCTCCACAGACACCCCCATGGTATTTCTCAGCGCCTCAAGGCTCTCCTCCCAGCTTCGCCCAGTGAGGCCCCATTCCTACTACCACTGGGTCTCTGGTCTGAGCCTTGTGTCCTGCAGAGCATCTGTGCTTTGAGGCCATAGGCACCTGCCCATGGCCCCGGCCAATGTAGCGTGAGTGCCGGGCACAGAGGAACCCCAGCAGATTAGGCTGGGTTGAATGGTGGTATGGGCCAGCGCTCAGAAGGCCACAGATATTTGGCAGCAGAAATGAAGTGGCGCGACACCCATGCAGGGTCCCACCCTGCTGGAGAAGGGAGTGTGGCTGTGGCCCCGGCAACACCTGTGGAGGAGAGTGCGTGCAGGCTAACCCCGGCCGGCGGGGCTGCGGAGGTTCGGTGCAGGCTAACCGGCTCGCAGGGCTGCGGAGGGTGCGGTGCAGAGCCCCAACCCCCGGCTCGCGGGGCTGCGGAGGAGTTCGGTGCAGGCTAACCCCGGCTCACAGGGCTGCAGAGGGTGCGGTGCAGGCTAACCCCGGCTCGCAGGGGCTGCGGAGTGCGGTGCAGGCTAACCCGGCTCATGGGAGGGCTGCGGAGGTCTGCGGTGCAGGCTAACCCCAGCCGGCAGGGCTGCAGAGGGTGCGGTGCAGGCTAACCCCGGCTCACAGGGCTGCAGAGGTGCGGTGCAGGCTAACCCAGGCTCCTGGGCTGAGACTCTCTGCTCTGCAAGGAGTCAGGTTAGGAGTGGTCTCATCCGTTCTGTAGCGGCGGTGGCCAAGTCTGCCCCGGCCGAGGCCTTTATGGATAGGACTCTGCATCTGGAGCGCAGGACAGGGCAAACACCTTTCCCCGCCCTGAGAGGCGTCCTTTTTCCAGCAGGGACGGGGCTGCCGCAGAACCACCCAGACAGGAGAAACCACCCACAGACAGGGCGACAGCAGGACACCCTGTCCCATCTTAGCACAGGGAGTGCCTGAGGACCTAGCAGGCCCCCCAGGAGGTGGCACCTGCAGGGTGAGAAGGGAGGGAATTAGCCCAGGCTGCAGCCTGCCCCACACTGCGCTGCCTGTGAAAAGCAATAGCCGCCGCCTC